ATAGATAGATCACACAAATAACTGGGAGGGACTTTTGAAAGTAGATTGAGATTTAAGTGAAAATGAACATCAGCAAAACATAATAAAATTACAAAAGTTGTTTGACCTTGCTTTAGCAACTTGGTCATATTGTCAGGAGGGACCCCGAAGAAGGCACCTTGTCCAGAGCCTATAGTACTCATAATAATTTAAGGCGTCAGACCGTGAAATAGCAACATTTCCAATAATCGTAAATTAAATTAGATCTATTCAAAATCCCCACTGGTTGTTTCATCCCTCCAACTGTGTTGGGAGTGTTGATCCGCGTCTGCCTTCCTTGTCCACACTCTTCTTCATTTATATCTTATCAGTCTCCTTCTTGCTCCGCATGATCCGTAACTCATTCGCCTAGTTCTGTGATTTGACAGTATCACTACCACCATATCCGTGCTCCTAGAAGCGTTATTTTCTAAGGTGCCTCAAGCCTTTGATAGCACGTATACTTGCGTCTTATTGAGCAGGCCCCAAAGTTTGGATTCTCAAGCTGAATGAAAAACCAACTGCAGATTACCACATCACCGTTTGGCACCTGCATCGGGTAGATCTAATGATCAAGCCTCTACTTCACGGACCACGCCTATGATCAAACCTGTCTACTATTAGCCAACTATCTCTGATCTCCGCCGCATCTTTCGTGCTTCTATCCATAATGCCCAGTCTATGACTTTCCTATGCCAAGGTCTTTTTTATTAGGCTTACCGTAAATGTCTCCCGATTTCTGAGTGTTCCTATATTAAGTCTTCTTGTTGCTGAATATGCCTCAATAAATCCGCTCAAAAGGGCACACATGAACTAGGTTTAGATAAGCAAGTAAGAAATTGTGATAGCAGAGGATGATACAAGGATATAGAAAAGGAGAATACATCAGAACAGAAGAGATATTACAACTGTTCAGCACGCAATCGGTCGAATGATCGACTTTACTTGTCTCTTTGACGAGTTGTAGTGTAATGCTAATAATGACAAGGCTCGCTGACGATGCCGGCGAAACGTCTGAAAATGTACCGAGTTCACGGTCCAATGGTGGAAATGTTTGGTGAGCCGAATGTAACTAGCATTTTGGACAAGTTTCCAGGGGTCATAAAAATGCAACAGTATATCGAACTTAGCATATTTATTCACTGGAGGAGTTAAAATTCATTTTTATATGCGAACAATATCATTAAATTTGCATAGAATTGATTTTGCTATTACAGTTTAATTATGAGTGATTGCCGCAAGAAAATGAAAATTACAATGACTAAAAATTATGACTAAGTCGTGTTAGCATATTGACAACTCACTAACTTGATCATAGTTGTGAAATTCATTGTTGTATAGCACCACCATCCAGGCTGGCTCCTTTTCGGTCGGCACCAACTGAATACCTGTGGCATCTGTACGCCTGACTCGCGAACGAAATCGTGATTCCGTTCCTTGGCTGTCTCGAAGCTTGAAAGTCTTAACCGAAGACGGATCCTCTCCAGATCCAAGCCCAAACGCATCTCTAGCCTTCTTAGATCCATCATTCTCATTTGCGAGGGCGGAAGTGCCACCAGTTAGCTTAGAACGGAGGAGGCGACTGAATAGACGAGGATGAAGGCGCCTGGCACGAGATAACTGTGCCATGCCGCGAGCCACGACATCAGTCTGGCTACGTTGGCGAGGCGCAGTTCGTGGCCAGTCGTCCTCACCAAGAGCTACAGCGTCCTCCCGTGCATTTACCAGTGGAAGATGGTTCAAGCTGGGGGGCCAAGAATCACTGGCGAGAGGTGCTGTTTCGCAGCGAAATAAGTCAGCTTCGTAATCTAATCCTTCTTCTAAAAGAGCAATCCGTTTCAACTCTTTATCGAAAAGCTCATCTATGTTAATAAAAAAAGTATGAATTTACGAACGATGATTGGCCTGAGGCTAAACAAAAAGAAAAGCTTAACGTAACACTTAATGTGTCCAAAATACCAATTGGCTTAATATATGGTTAATACAATGCATGTAATAGAATGGTCCAAAACAGTTTTGCAGGCTACGTGGACTAAAAATTCTCACGTAGTGGCATACATTGTGAGAACAGGAAGCATAGCCTTAAAAAACTTCACGGAAGCCTTTCTTTTATACTCCCAGCATAAAAAGTCGCGCAGGTTTTTGACAATGATAGATAATTTGTTAAGGCAGTATTCTCCAAATGGTAAACAAATCTGATTCTTTCAAAAAGCATGAACCTATAAGTATCATGATGCAGAGAACTAAGCAAGAGGTTTCCCGTAAGAGATAAATATATAAGGTATTTTAGGTCAGAAACTAGGCAAGTTGCATAAAACAACTGTGGATGGTATCAGTGACAAACTTCTGACAGTGTTTAAAGTTTGTGCCTCCATAAAAGGACAAAATGTTAACACAACAATTTTGTAAAGGATTTCCACCCGGGAAGCGAAGAAGCGAAATCGAGTTATAAGACCTCCCTCTAAATGAAGGAAAGATGCCAACCTAAAATAGTTATTGGTGCTACCAAAAATCAAAAAGACATGATTAATATAGTTAGCAGAACTAAAGAGAAGTAATGATAGATATATCTTATAAGATAAATGTAGCTTCAGACGACATTAAGGATTATAAGCAAGGGGATCCTAAAAGCTAGACAGATGGGTTGTCTGAGATAATGTGTAATAAAAGAAGTGATAATACGTAAAATGAATACATTCCTTAGGTGGTATGCCAGAATGCTGATAGTATATGGAAAGTACGCAAAAGAGTCATAATTAAAAGAACTGCGTTAGACATAGGATAGTACTAAAAATTTAGAAAAAATTAAAGAAAAAATGTATTGGGCCTGATAGTTTTATCAGGGATGAATTTGTCAAGCTAACCGTTGAACACGTAAAAGAGCACTGTAATTAGCACTTAAGTCTCGATCTATTGTCAGCGAATATCAACATTCAGATAAGAGACAATATAGGCTTAAGAATAGCAATAAGTGGATAAGTGTTCGGAACAGAATTTAGTAAAAAAAATCACATGGCGGCTGGTAAAAGACCTAGATAATTAACTTTCAAGAATACGGTTATATAATAAGACAGAAAGGAGGGCCTATATTACTTTCTCGGGTTGAGTATGAAAGCATTAAAATAATGCATCCGACCAAACCTGTTACCATACGATCAAGATATGAACCTAAGTTTAGTCGCAGTGTCCGTTAGCTGTGTAGAATCGATTGAACCTTGTTTGACCAACTTGGGTGGAGTGACAGGAAAACGTATTAGAGTAGGGTTTAGAGACTACCAGTAAATCAGTGTAATGAGATGTATTCACCATATTTCGTCTAAGGTGATGAAGGACCGGTAGTAGAATTTTCCCACAATGATATAAGTTGAGCTAACGTTTCCCTTGAATTTCACATAGCCTTGCTTTCCCAAAAGTTGTTCTCATCAAGGGTGGACTGCAGTTTCGAACTCGCATCGGTCTTATTAACACGCTCAGCT